AGGTAAAGTATGGAGGGGTCTTTACATACACCCATCCCTTATAAATAGCCCACAGTGCAATCTGTAGGCAATATCTGCACAGCAGCTCACAGATAGACTAAGTAATGCCACAGTTGTGCTCCCCACCCCACCCCCCCCTCAGCCCAGTCATTCATTTGGGTCTCCTCTTCTCATCTCTAGAAATGTATGGTAACCAAATTATCCTCAAATCTTCCAGCCCGCTTTCATATTTGATTAAAATTCATCAGTTCAAAAGTTATTGCCGGTAGAAAAACAGATGCAACTGCATGAGCCTTGATCCCTTTGAAAAAACACAGCTACTTCTGCAGTGGAGGTACAGGTGGGGTGTTGGTGAGCTGCGGAGCATATGCCAGAAGAGACAAGGAAGCAAAAGGAGACAGATTCCCTGGGTGAGACTAACCCACCCGTGTCAAACCCCAATTCCTCCTCTATGCCCTATTGCTACTAAGTGCACAGACACATAATCCTGGCTGTGGCCACCACCGCTGACTTAATTCTATGTAGGGAACCATTTTCCTCCTTCCCTTGTGTCTGACAAAACCCGTTCAGCCACATGCCTGCTTATCAGTATCCTGTGGCTTGCCCAGGTGACCCTGTACTTAAAACATGCTGCTATATGAGCCACATGGTTTTCCACTTACGAAAGACAGGCTGGTGAGGCGTTCCTGCTACAGGAAGGCAGAGGAGCAGCTGGGTCCTCACCCAAATTCTTTATCCTGGTCTTTCTTCCTTGGACTTCCCTTGTCTGCACCTCAACATATCTCAGCATCTGCAAAGTGCAGATCTCCAGTGTGGAAGAAGACATCATGCCCACCTCTTTCACCTTTATGGCTTAAAGTCTGTTGTTGCCACTCTGCCAAAGTAGCACACGTTTTCTCATGTACTAGTCTACCAAAAGCTGAAATGTGGTGATTTCTCTCTTCCAGCTAAGACCCATAAAAGCATCCTCCAGCTCAGATCCTTCATTAAAGCAAAGCCAACTAAATTAGCCACCCTGGGGATCAGATGAAGGCCTAGAAAATGTAAAAAAGATTAAAGGGAAAAAAACCACAACTATTGCCACTGGTAAATGTGTCTTAATTAAAACTTTTGAAAGCACAATTCAAACACACTCCAGTCATCCTTCAAGCCCCTGCAAAAGTTAATGAGATGAATTTTTCTTACAGTCCCCCATTGATCCATGAAGTGCAAAGAGGGAATCAGAACTGCAAATGAAAAATTGTGGGTGCAGGGCTAGATGCTGATTGCATTTGCAGGAGTGTAATTCCAACATGACCCCTTGCAGACCCTATTGGCATTATTCCAGGAAGGCATGGTGGCAACTACTGGGTTGTGCTGTGTGGCCAAAGGTGTGCCTTGAATGACAGAAGCAAAAAGTGATGCTGAAAAAGTCCGCTTCATGCACCAAATGTCATGAAAATCAAACTTCAGCTACTGTGGTTTTGCTTCTTCAATGGAAAAGGAGGAGATGATAATTACATCTTTGATTTATGGATAATAAAAGTTTGGGGTTTTTTATTTCAATTTTAAAAATCTCCCCACAGTTGCACACTGTTTCCAAGCCTCTAATAACCCAGCCCAACAGCGGGAGAATGAACAGACTCTGCAAACTTCCTTGCAGAAAAGAGAGCAGACTTGATCTCCCACAATTTGCAATAAACATCCCCTACTCACAAAAAACACACACCAGGGTTCTTAAGACGTGCAAGTCTTTTGAGATCTATTTAACCCAGCTTAATGCAGAAAGATCACAAGCTTGATTTAGACTGGGTCAGGGCTAGCTATTTGCTTAAAGCAAATGCTCTGTTTACCCTGGGATAATCAGTGAGCCTTTCCTTGCCCGCTTAGTCTCATCCTCTCCCTGTTCAGGATTTCTGCTCACACAGGAACAGCCACAGGGAACCACCCCGGGGAGTGCCCCACATACCCTGTGCTGGTCTGGAGGAGGTGGTCTACACATGCGTTCCAGGCAAAGTGGGCAAAATTCCCATCAGTGACCCTAAGGGAGCTCCAGTGAGAATGGGCATTTTCCTGCCTCATTTTCATTTCATCCCCCACTCCTCCTGCAGACAGATTTGGGGCACACAGCCGTGTCCCAGGAGATGGCATCTGGTTGGAGAGAGACATGCAAAGGGACAACCATCTCAGTCTCCAGTTGCAGGTTCCTCCACAGCACAAAAATTCCTGAAGAAAAATAACAAGTATTTGCATATTGTGGGCTTGGAGGAGTTTGCTATTGTTTGTCAGTTATTGGGGTGGTTGGAGGCATGGGGTGTGTTTGGTGGGGGTTTTGGTGTTTTCGGAGGGGGGTTCTGGTTGTTTTGGGGTTTGGGGTTTTTTTTTTACAGAATAGCAGCTAGCACTATTAATACTACTACTCATTAGTGAGCACTCTTACTTCCTAGGAAAAAAGAACCGGAGAAACCTTCTCAGTGGAGCCATAAATGGGTCATTAGGAAAAGTTGATGTGGAAGAGCTGTAAATGAGCAATTTATGGAAAGAAGGGGAGAGGGAAGAAGGCAGGAAAAACATGCCCTCTGCAGACACACGCTGCTTTCTTTAAGTCACTGTTTGGCATTGTAAACCCTGTTAATAATGAAACAGGACAGAGCAGGTCCTAGAGCAGGCCCTGAGCTCCCCAGGACAAAGACTGTGGCAGCACAGAACACGGCAGGACAACAGAAGGCAGAACAAGCCAGGTTTGCATCAGGCCATGGCACACTCCTCTCTGCCTGAGCCACCATCAGACACCCAATGCCACAGGCAACCTCCTAGGCAAGAAGAGAGCCCAGGACATTGCTAGTTTTGGATGAGGCTGAAACAAGGGCCACCACCCCTGGCATCTGTCCCCACTCCACCGGGCACAACTCTGCTCTGTGTGAGGTTTACATTTGCTGTTGGCTTCTGTGCAGAGGAAGGGGGTCCACACAAGGGCACCCCAATCTCCCCAGCACTCGGGTCAAAGGTAAGGCAGCAGCGGCTGCTGGAGATGCTCTGTGGGTGCCTGGACCAGGCAAGGCTGGGCTCTGGCACAGTGAATTACCTTCTGGTGCCCTCTAGTGCCAGCAGCCAAGTAAGGTGGCCTTGCACAGAGCCCAGTGGGAAGAGGGCTGTGGGTGCCGGAGGTGCATCTCATCACCCTCTCTGCCTTGAGTAGTCATCGTCCCCACTCACACCAAACCCTCTCAAAGGGCTGCTAGCGGTGTCCCAAGGCGTTCATTTTAAGCAAAGAAAGAATCTACGCTCTAGAAAGATCCCCCCAAATCCCTGAGCAGACCCTCACACTGGGCCCCTTTTGACTCAAATCAAAAGGCTGTGAGCTCACCAGGAAGAAAAGAGAGGACAGATGGGGGTCCTGCAGGAAACCTGAACCCCTTTCTGGTGCATCATGTGGCAGGGTGACAAACAGGCTCTTACAACACACAGGAGACATGTTGGGATTCGGTGACCAGGGTCCCGACAGCCCCTCCGTTGCATGTTGCAGGAGGACTCAACTGTAGTGTCTAAGACAATCTCCCAGCGTCCCTCAGGGAGGTAGGAACTGTAGAGCACAATTCTTGAGGAGAAAGGGCAGGCTGAAGATACCCAGTTCAGCAGAGGAATGAGTCCCTACCTATGCCACAGTTGAGGGACAGGCCACTGTGTGAGCTCAAAAAAAAAAAAAAAAAAGGGGGGGGCGGGGGGGACAAAAAGCCCGGGGAGGTC